AAATCTTTGAATTAAATTTCCCTCGGGGCCGCCTAGAATTATATGATTGTTAATACGAAACTTTCTTACAAAATACGAAACTTTCTTTATTCTTTTTCATGCAGTGCATTCTTATTTTGTGTCTTACCCAAAATAGTCAGAGTTCCGTTCGGGTTCTCATCAACGTTCATGAGGTCCTCCGAAGACAACGTCGAAATAGGAATTGGACACTTGTTCAAATTCCGCGGGGAATGGTCATCGTAGTAATACGTTTTAAGTCCCTTGTCAGGAACCCAAGCGTACGAAATTCTGACTTCCCTTTTGCAGTTCCTCGTGAAAGAGTACATTTGGAACCCTTTGAATACGTTGTTCTCCAGGAATGTGACAGTCACGTTTTCAATTGAATTGTCGTGTGCCAAATCCAGGACCTTCCTTACTTCGTCTTTTAGTATATTGTTTGTAGACAGGATTCGCACTTTGGTTTCGTAATCACTCGGCAAGTGGCTGAATGTCGTGGACAAGTAATCGTAATCGATTGTATCGATGAAGACGAAGACGCAGTTCTTGTTCGCATACTCCCGCGATTGAACCATAAACTCAGAATTGGTTCCGACGAAACAAGGTCTGTCCTTGAAAAGGGGTGTAGCAGCCCTCAGAAGTTGATTATTCGGAGCAATGATGCTCATTTGTCTGCTGGGACAGTTCTGCATCAAATGGCTCTCGGCGTCCACTAGGAATTTCTGCAAGAGTTGTTCCTTCTCATTACGTTTCAGTAACGAGCTCAGTTTTCTAAGATCTCCCGTCACCACTGTGCACAGGGGTAAAAATAAAACAATGCAGGTAAAGCACTGAAGCCCGATCATGCTTGATTTCCACACCCCTTCAACTGTATCCTTTATATCTCTGCTTCACTGAATCCCGATCACCGGTGGCTGCTCCGATTATTTCAAGGAAATATTAACGTTGATTACTTCGAAGGCTGGACAGGAGGATCGCGTGGGATCTATAAAATATGATAGACCAAACGCCAACTTCCTCCGTTAATGCGGAAGCAAGTGAAATATTCGCGGACCTCTTATCGCGAAATTCAATTGGCTTTACTCTCGGAGGGAGGATAGTGCAAGTGATGCTACGGCCACTGCAAGTGTCAGACTGCCGATGCTTCGATTACTGATTGTGTTTGACACGTGGTGCTAAGCAACAATCGCGCAACTCTGTTTCGAGAGGCAAGCAAAGTGGAATCCAGGAAAATTGCATGGCAACAATTGTTATCATTATCTTGCACTGAAGTGTATAAGGGGAACTGCAAATTTCCTCAGGAGTTTTTCTATTCATCGCCTATGAAC